ACCCTTATAATTCAATGGCATACGGAATCTTCCATTTGTATGTCCTACGAACATCTAAAATTAACCCATTATTTCTCCTTGCATCGCTGAAACGTTTGGAAGCGCTGACATGGAATAGAGTAACCAAATCCTGGGGGGTCTCGGTTAAGGTGGGAACTCGAGCAAAAGTTGAAGAAAGGGGCAATTGCCTTGATCTCCGCAGAGGTATACTACCAAGAGAACGAGTTAAATTCTAGCCTACGCTGACTCGGAAGTGGGCGGGAAAGCTGTAAAACCCAAGAAAACAAACGCTTGGACCACAACTCACGCCGGAGGCAGGAAGTGCATCACAGCGCTTCTCCCGGATCTTCACTCACCCATTTAGGAATCTTGGAGGACCCACCATGTCTGTGGTTCGTGTGTCTCCTACTCGGCTGGCCCTCACCGACTCAGAAGCTTACTCTGAACGGCCCAGGCAGTGAGGTTGGTCAGGGCTCCTAACCTCTCCGTTCAGCAGGCATTCAATCTGGGCTGACTTCTCTTCCCCACTAAAGAGATGTTGGCTCTCACCGGGTCCATCTTGCCCCTACCAACCCTGATTCTGGTCGTCCGAGGTCCCAAACCTGGGCATCATACATCCAGGTTTGTTCCGGTTGTCTGGGTATAATTTACACTCCCTTTCATTCTCGCGTCGAAAATTGGACAATAATTCCTCAAGTCTTAAGAGGATTCCTCACTTCAACCACAACGAGCACTTTTTGAACTCAACCAGGCACCTCGGATGTGAAATAGTGGGGTCTGGGCACCGGCACAGAGTTGCCCCTCTCCATTAGCTCCCACTTCTTCTGCCAGCCCTGGTCATGTCTTTCAGAAAATCATCCCCATTCATCCTAGCTACTTGCCTAAAACGGCTTGCCTTCTGCCCTATAAATTTCAGATCCAGTGCCCTATTATTCCATTTTCATCTGCAATATAAGGTGGGGCACCCCAGACCACCTCATTGGTGACTATACCACTGAAATTCTCTGAACAGATTCATTTTATATAACTAGCTGTGTTTACAATGAGTTTTTTTTAATCTTTTTTCCTTCTCTCACCATTTGTTGGCTTAATCTAGAGTTTTACCAACTAATTTGGCCTTCTTTCTTTTTGTGTTCTCTTGATTTTTTAATTTTGCCCTTTTCCCCCATTTTGTTGTTATGTGTCTAAGGGCTCCATGTATAAAGGTCCATAGGACTATATATAATTCATAATGTTCTTTTTTCAGTTTTTTTTTTTTTTTTGGTTGCCTTTTTTTTTAATATGATAAAAATAGACCACTTCTAATGCTTATGTACTTTGGGCTCCACTTTTCTCATGCAGGTATGAAATGGGTTAAATTCCAAAAAAAAAAAAAAAAATCTTTTAAGCAAATATTCTCTTACCAAACATGGATTAAACTCAAATGCAATTTAGCCAAGGACCTCTTAATATGGCTTCCACCTACCTTCTCCACTCTTGAGTTCTGTCCAGAGAACTCCTAGTTCTTGAGCTTATCTTGGATGGGCCTTGCCTCATACCCTGTTACCTTTCTGCCTAAAACCCTTTCTCTCCCCTCAGTCTCCTGCAGAGAATCTACTTTTCTCTCAATTACTAGATCAACATTTAACCAATGACATACGTATACTGGCACATATTTTATATTTCAAAGTACCTTCACATTTCATATTATATAGCTTTTACTTTAGATGTACTTTTTATTTTAAAATTTCCTTAGAGGTAATTTTTGTCTTTTGGAAAGGTATAAAGCAATCTTCTATAAATTATTTTTTAAAGGGAAAATATCCACTATAGAAAACAGGAGTCATTTCCAAATATAAAATATAAACAGAATTTGATACTCCTGTAGCCCTGACCTTGAAATCAAAATTATAATAAGAGAGTCTTCAAGATTCTTGGCAGATTTTGGTTGCAAGATTTTCAACCTTTTCCTGATGCACAGTATCCACAGTTCTGAACAGTCCTCAAAGGAGTGCAGTATTATCCTCAAGAACCAATAAACGAATTTAATTGGATTTGAATCAATATTTTCTATTCTTGGCTCAGCCATAAAACTTTTGACTACTATTCTCTTTTAGGCTGTATAAAAGAGAGTGGATACTGAAAGGAGACCAAAGCTAGAGACTTCATGGGTTGGGGGAGTGAAGGAGAAGCCAGGATGGAAAAAGGAAAACAGAAAGGTGATAAATATTTAGAAATATGAAAGGGAAGCAACTAAGAATTTCTGGCCAGGAAGAACTAGAATAATCACAGAAGCAGCCAGGGTCTACATATCATTGTTAAGTTAAATATTACTCAACTAATGAGGAATGTATTAGCATAATTAGTATCAGAAAACAAGGGGAGGTAGTTTTGCAAACAGTCGGTTATTTTAATCATAATAAAGATCACTGAATTTTAAGTGGTATGTCTTTACAGCATATACAACACCTTTTGCCAGTTGAGAAAAATGAGAATTTTTGAGAAGCTGTGAAAAAAGCAAGCACAGAACAAACCAAATATCCATTATTCAGTTGTAGGTGTAAAAAAAAATTACTCCATATAGAAATACATTCTTTGAAGACCTTATATGTTCATATTTTAAGAGCTGATGTAATGGAATTATCCAAACATGTTGCTTCAATATGTGGAGAGACATTTAAGAAGCTTATCAACCCAGGGTGTTATAGTATAGTTGTATCAATTTACAGAATACATATTTACTATGAAATTGATTTTAATTCATACTGAAGTCTACTATATTTTCCTTATGTATTTCTCTTGGAAATAACTTAACCTCAAGACACAATCAAATGTTCTCTAGAAGAAATTTAAGATTTTTGATAATTAGCTACAAGTAGTGACACAAATCAGTTGAATGAAATTGAAGAACACCACCCATAACTTCTTCCATTTCTCTCTTGAAGAACTGTGCAATTCCAGATGCCCAGAATCTGTTTCTTAGCTTATGTAAAAGTCACTTGCTTTTGAAAAGAAAGAATTGGGCTTTGACTAAATAGGGAAGAAGAATGAAACCAAATATGTTACATGTTAAAATAGTGATTTTTCATGTAGTTTGTTAAACTACCAGCAAGTGAAATAGTATTCACTTTGTTATAATGTGAAAATCTCTAAAGAGTACATTCATGAAAATATCAAGGTATAGAAGAGTATAAATAATATGCCATCCTTCTGTAATTGAGGAAATATTTACATAAAAAAACATGGAAAGAGACATACAAAACTAGTAAAATGGCTACCTATAAAAAGAAAGAGGGGAGCATTTTTATATTGTTTTGATTTTTGAACCGGGTAAAAAATGAATCATCTTTTTTTAAAAAAAAGTGCCTCAAATGAGGTTAAGTGGGAGGAATCTTTCCTGGATTGCCCTATAAATTAAGTAGAGGAACTGATTTTTTTTTTTTTTTTTTTTTTTTTTTTTTTTATTTTTTTTTGGAAAAAAAACTTTTTTTTTTTTTTTTTTTTTTAGTATTTATTTTTTAGTTGTATTTGGACACAATACCTTTATTTTATTTATTTGTTTTCATGTGGTGCTGAGGGTCGAACCCAGGGCCTCACACATGCCGAGTACTCTGCCACTGAACCACAACCCCAGCCCAAGGAACTGTTTTTATTGAAACATATATGGAAGGGTTTGTTGAGATATAAAGCAAAATCTCAGTAACTTAAAAAATCCTATAAATTCCATATTCTTGAAACTTCTCTTTGGTGATATAATGCCTCTAGTGGCTTAGCAGGAAAACAAAACAAAACATTGCACTAGGAATTAGGAGACAAGTTTCAGCTCTGCTGAGCACTGTTTATATGATCTTAGACAATTACTTCCCAGAGCCTCCTTTTCCCTATCTGTCAAATAAGGGCATGTGGAAGTGCTCTGCATGGTCCCTTCCTATGATTCTATTATTCTTAAGTTACCTGTTGTGTATTTGGTCTTCTAATATAGACTACTATCACCACAAGTTTTCTGTTTCTTTGTCTCCTGGGCTTAGTATAAATCTTTATAAATAGTTAATCAACATTAAGGGAAAGAAATTTTTGTATATATGACTTTGATGGTAATCAATAGGCAATGCCAAGAAATATGGAAGTTACAAAAAGCAATCAAGAAGGATGGGGATATAGCTCAGTGGTAGCATACTTGTCTAGCATGTGATAGGCTCTGAGTTTGATTCCTAGCAATTAAAAAAAAAAAAAATCAGTATGGATGACTAAGCATACTCTTCTATCTATTCTTGTAATATGTGAAATTTCCATATAAATTATTAAATATAGAAGAAAATATAAAAACTGACAACATTCATCATGTCATAGGAAAAATGCAGAGGCCAATATTTTTAAAACAAAAATCTGAAAATGATATATCAGAATTTTAGCTAAGTTTCTTACAAATTTAAAATCATGAGCAATTGTAGTTATCACTGAACACTGGGCTGCTATAATGTGTACCTCTTATACTTTGGTTCTTTGGTTCCTGAATGAAACCAGTTATTGAAAATCTATAGGGAGAAACGTTTGTGCATTTATATCTGTGTGCCCCATGCTATAAGGTTAAAAGGCAGATTACAGATTTTAATACTATTATTTTTTAATTAATTTGTAAATATTCAGTGAATTGATTCAAATTATTTTATACTCAGACTGCATATGATTTTTGGATGAAGTAGTTTTCCTAAAGTATACCCAGAAAACTTCTTGCACAAGTATATGACACTAGATCTAAAGTATATATTATTATGAAGCCAACACAAACAGCAATATTCAGCATTGCAAAGCTGTATGTATATGTCACTGTCAACAGAGAACTTGACAGATGTGTTTAAGATATTAGTATGCTTCTTTCAGTAGAAAAACAAGGGTATGTTCACTGGATTTCCCTTTAACTTTCTATGTTAAATGATTAAACTGTTATTGTTCTCTCAGGGACAAAATAAGAAACAGTACCCTTGCTACCTTTCTTAGTGGTCTGACTTCAGGAAATTTTGCCTTCCCTATTCCAAGAAGCTACCTCAGTTCAGTGATAGGGTGGACTTTCCGATGCTGTATGAGGTTGCAATGGTAAATGAAGTTCTTGCCACACTCTTCACATTCATAAGGTCTCTCTCCAGTGTGAATTCTCTGATGCTTAGTGAGGACAGAACGTCGACTAAAATTCTTGCTGCACTGATTGCACTGATAAGGCTTTTCTCCAGTGTGGATTCTGAGGTGATGGAAAAGCCCAGCATTCTGGCTGAAGGCTTTACCACAGACACTGCACTGGTAGCGCTTCTCCCCAGTGTGAAGTCTCTGGTGCTGGAACAGGCCTGACCGCTGGCTAAAGGCCCTCCCGCACTCATCACATTCATAGGGTTTCTCACCTGTGTGTGTCCTCTGGTGCTCGATAAGGATAGAATTCTGGGTAAAGCTTTTTCCACATTCACCACAGATATAGGGTCTCTCTATTGAAGAGTTTACCCGTTGCCTTTCCAATTTGCCCTCGTGGTCACAGGTGTCTCTACATTCTGACACTTTAGTAACATCACTGTTAAGTTTTCCAGGTACTTGTATGAGAGATTTCATTTCTTTAGAAAGTTCTTTTGCAGAAGCTAACTCCACATTCCAGTTACCAGCCTTACCATCTGAAATAATAAATGGATTACATGAATGTTATTTTTCTAAGGACAAAAGAAAAAAAGTAACCAGGAGAGTAAGTGGAAGGGAACAAGTAATCACTTTTTCTGTTTACTTTCCCACTCTAAAACACTTATTCCTGAACCTCTGGGAGAAGATTCATGTGTTATAACTGCTTAATTATTTAATTGCTTCTAAAACCAGATAGTAAGCTTCCTGAAAGTGAGGACCATGTTTGCCTTGTTCATCACACTGTTTCCCCAGTACCTGGCGTCATGCTTGGCATATAGAAGACACTGTGTAAATATGTTGGCTTGATGGACAGCCAGGAAATAAGGCAGGGTCTCTAAGGTAATGCTAATCCTCACCAATGTCTTGAACCGGGCACGCCTCTGGTAAGTTACACTGCAGCTTCTTTTCCAAGATTTGGAATTGGCCACTTGATGACTCCTGGGCTGCTCCTTGAGTTGCCTTCTGTGTTACAAATATTTCCTGTTTATGTGCATGACTTGGGACCTGGTGGAAATTAAGAACAGTTGAGAATAAGATATCAGAGAGGACACTGACTTCTTCTCAGAGCTGCTCAGTAGAAAAAGAACCAAGAAATTGGTAAAGAAAAAAAAAAGACAGAGAGAAGAGAGATTAAGAGCCTACAACAGACCAAGTCAGGCATAAAGAAACCTTTCTCCTCCTCACTTCTTCTTGTTGCACTAAAACCCCTTATTTGTTCCTATAGATACAAACCTCTGTTCTCCCTCTCTTCCCACCTGCTCTCCTGGTTCATCCAGCTCTCTCTCCAAATCCTCCAGCACAGCCACTGCCTCATCTCCATTCATAGGGTGGTGCTCTCTCACCCAGGCCTGCAGGTCATCAGGCAGGATTGTCAGAAACTGCTCCAGCACCAGCAGCTCCAGGATCTGCTCCTTGCTGTGCATCTCAGGCCGCAGCCACTGATGGCAGAGCTCCTGGAGTCTCTGAAGAGCTTCCCGGGGACCAGTGGTCTCCTGATAACAGAACTGCCTGAAGCGTCTACGGAAGAACTCTCTGGTATGAAGGTTACTTCTTGACAGGCCAGATTCTCGCCCACAGGCACGGTCCTTTTCTTCTTCCTTTACCTTCACTGCCAGAAGTCCTCCCTGGATCAGCTCAGTCTGAAGAGCCAAGGTTGTGGCCATTTTATTTTTTACTATTCAAAAAAAAAGCTGTTCTTGATAATTCCCCTTTAATCTTTTCTTCTGGAAATACTGAGTGAGATCTAAAATATAATTCAGAGAAAAAATATTAAAATGCAGAAAAACCTAGTGACAGGCAGGCACTGGGAGTATTTATATTCAAAAAGTCACTTTGGTTCATGAAGAAAGAACACTGAATGCATAAAGGTAAGAACCATGCAAACACTAAGCAGGTGAAAGGGGAAAGCTTCCCCAGTTTATTAAGGAAGGCACCATTTTTTTTAAAGAGAGAGAGAATTTTTAATATTTATTTTTTAGTTATTGGTGAACACAACACCTTTGTTTGTATTTGGTGCTGACAATCGAACCCGGGCCGCACGCACGCCAGGTGAGCGCCCTACCGCTTGAGCCACATTCCCAGTCCAGGAAGGCACCATTTTGATCATCCTTAATGAAACAGTTCAAATCAGCTTTAGTACAGTGGGGTTTTATTTGAATGGCAATATCCTAGATTCATTGTGAATTTTTAGTCAAATGAAGGTAAACAAATACTTTGGGCCCAAGTGGTCCCAGATGACACTAAGAATCAAAAAGAAAAGGGACAAAATGGAGGATGGAGGTTAAAATAAAGAAGATAAAATGAGGGCTGGGGCTGTAGCTCAGTGGCAGAGTGCTTGCACAGCATGTGTGAAGCACTCGGTTCAATACTTAGCACTGCATAAAAATAAATAAGAATAATTATTTTAAAAAAGAAGGTAAAAAGAATGAGAAGCAAAATAAATACATTTGGAGAGGAGAGGCAGAGTCCCTCTAGTCAGGTGAGGTATGGAGGAAAAAGGTCTTTCTGCCTAAACTTTTCATACATACTTATTCACTTAGCAAATATTTATTCAGAGCCAATACTATATTCCAAGTAGTGTTCTAGGCATGAGAATACAGTTATAAGCAAAACAAAGTCCATAGTCTCATGGAATTTGCATTCTAATAACAATGATATCTGACATTTTTAGTGCTTTTAATGTACTAGTCATTCTCCTAGATGCTTTATATTAGTCCACTTAATCCTCAAAACAAATGAGTAAGGTACCATTATTACCTCTATATTGCAGATGAGAAAATTGAGACACAAAGAGTTTAAGTTACTTGTCCACCGTTTCATAGGTAGCAAGTGGTGAAAGCCACAATTCAAACCCAATAAAGGAGACTTCAGAATTCTTAGTCTCAGTCACTGTCTCTATACCACTGTCTCTATCAACTGTTGATATTATCTATATGTGGGGGAAAGGAGGAGACAAGAGCAGAAAAGAGGACCATGAGAGACAGACAATAATGAAAAATATATAAAGCAGTGAAAAACATTTTGAGAAAATGAAGGTAAATGATGTAGGGAGTAGGGGTGAAGAAAGATTGCTATTTTATATGTGGTGATCTAGGAAGGCTCTGTGGATAATAACTGAGCAGAAGTGAGGAACAAGTCATGTCTATCTGGAGAAAGATTGTACCATGCAGTAGAACACTTGAGTACAAATTCTTGGATGTGGGAACATGCTTGGATTTTTCAAGGAACAGCTATTTGAACAGTGACTGGAACAGAGAAAGCAAAAGGAAAATGGCAGGAGATAAAGCAGGGAGGAAGGAAACATCCCTCTCTGAAGTGTTCATCCATTTCAGCCTACCCTATTCCTCATCCCATCCTTATATTATGTACTATGAGTCACATCATTTACCATCAGTCATAATCTATCTTATACTGTTACTTTTCTTCACAATTATTTTTTTAATAGAGAGGAATATAAAATTCCTTCAAGTTCTACTCCCCAGAAATATGTAATTTAAAAATTGGAATGTAACTTTTAGATATTTCCTGTACATTTGTAATATCTCACACACAGTTGATATAAGCCCACAGTCTTCCTATTTATCTGGAAATAAGCAGAAGGTAATGTGAGATGGTGGACACAAGCAGATCTGGTTGTGAATTTTGACTAGCCTTGGGCAAGTTAATTTTTTTGAGCCCCAATCTCATGTGTGAAATGAAATATTGTATATAAAAGGGTTTTGCACACACAGAGCATGACAAACAATAAATATGCAAATTAATCCTTTAATAAGATGACCAACAATTTTGGTACAGTGGTGCTTAATCAATAGTGGTTACCCTTAGGGCCAAGACTAAACTTTTTCTGTGGCCAAAGAAGATTGCTGGGCAAGTGGGAAACGCATGTGTACACACAAATAAAATGGCTGTTTCATCAGGTTTCCAGACACTCTGACATTCTTCAGATATATTCTTCAGATATATTCTCTAACCTTAAATCTTTACTAGAAGTGCAGGACTACCAAGGTCCAAAAGAGAGAGGATCAGATTAAATGAGAGAAGTAACCTCATGGGTTGTGACTGTAAAGGTAACACAGAAATAGCAAATAGAGTCAGCATAGCAAACATTTTAAGCAGATTCTGAGCCAAACTGCCTAGATATGAATCCTGAATACACACACCCCTTACCAGCTGTATGACCTTGAGCAAATTATTTAACCTCATTTTATTCATGAATTTTAAAAAAAAGCAGGGTGGGGGGAATCTACATAATATTAGTGCTTATTATATAAAATTATGAGAATATTTGGAAAGTGCTTAGAACAGTGCTTGACCAGCGCATAGTAAATGCTATTTAAATACTCATTAAAAAAAAAAAAAACCAGCAGACATTAAAAGCCTTTATACTATGTGAATCAGACTAATACACTATGTGAATCGGAGGCTCTGACCTATTTTTAAAAACTATTAAAATAGTAGAGAATGACAGACATCGGAAAATACATTCCTCTATATCCGAATGTATCTGGATCCTAAGCTGCAGCTGGGGACGGTTCGGAGAGGCACCAATACTAGGACAGAGGTTGAAGGGCTCCGGCATAGCCTAAGGACGTGGAGGGCAAAGACGTTGACTTCAATCAAGCAGCTCTGGAGCAACCTCTTCTGCCCCTCACTTGCATGGCTAATCTCTAGCAAGAAGCCCCCTCCACCTTCTCCCCACACCCGGTCCGGAGTCGCAGCGCCAAACCCGCTCTTCCGAGGGCCCTCAATGGTAGTCCCAATCCGAAGCTCACCGAGGCATCCGTGAGAGAAGATGCCACCCAGCCCAGATCGCACCACCTCAGAAACCTTGACAACAGCAGCCCAGAAAAAGAAAAACTACAAAGACCGGAAGTGCGTCAAGGTGGCTGGCTCTTTGTGAAACAGCTGTTCTGGCTGCGTTCCTTCTAGGAAGCTCGGAGGTTTCCACGCATCTGTGATCGCCTTGCTGAAAGCCTTCTCTTCCAACCGGCAATGTGATGACAGCTGGCATATACTGCTTTACACATGCTAATTCATTTACTGTGAATTACAACCCTGTGAATTATCCTCATCTAACAGATGGGGAAACCAAAGCACGTTCCTTCAACATTAGTTGCCAATCTCCTGCAAACCAAACCGTCCCTTTTCCCTGCCCTCCCTCATGTTATATTGAATCTATGCGTTCTCTTAAAATTCATTGCTATAAACAATTACTCCTATTATTTAATGTTTAATTTATTTCAAATGTGGTCCATTTCAGAGACCTTTAAAATTAGTTTTTATGTCCTTCAATAAGTTTTTGAGCGCTTCACTTTCTCACACAAGAGATTCCAGCCTCATTTTACACTTTCCTGCTCTAGACCAAGAATCCATGAAGCTATGACTCCTTTAAGAATGGGAAACAGAAACCCAAGATCCAGGTTTGGGGCAAAAACTCATTGCTACTGGAATATATCATTGCTTGTAGGCCCTGTTTGTGGATAAGAGCTAAGGGACAAGATTGAATGTCTTTCTGAGGGATTTTATAGGATATTTTCTATATACAAATCCAGATAATTTTGTTTTCATTTTAACCATTACATATTTGCTTTTCCTTTTACCCACGGTAAAAATCTTGGCCCCCACAGCCTCAATATATTCACTCAATTTTCTCTATCTTATAAACAAAGCAGTTTCAAAATTACAATAGCAGTATCACTAGCAATAATATACAAACTATGTACAGTCCCCAAAAATGTGTATTTTATTTTTTCTTGAGGTATATTCTAAGGGACTATAGTGAGAATATTGTACATATACCTTATTTAATTATTTTCTCTGTATGGTTATATTACAAACTGGATATATATTTAGGATCATTTGTTTCTGTTTGTGTTTAATTTCAGGGTTTGCTTTTCTAAATAGACTAAAATTATGTTTCTATTTATTACCAATCTCTCTAAATAGATAATGTGAACAAATAAATAATTCTTAAATTATGAATGGAGGATTGTAGGGGATTTTTTCTCTTTAAAGAAATCCTTTGAAACATACCTGTAGTTTCATCAATTTGGGAAATTGAGGCAGGAGGACTGCGAAGGAAGACAGTGATTTAGCAAGATCCTGTGTCAAAATAAAATAATTAATTAATTAAAAGGATCAGGGATGCAGCTCAATAGTACAACACCCCTGGATTCAACCCCTAGTACCATACCATTTTAAAATAAGAATTCCACTGTATTTTCCCACAAAGCTTTTCAATATGATGATTACTATTATTATTGAAATAAATTTGGTAAGTTAAGAGTTCTCTGAATCAGTGTGCTTAGAATTAAACCCAGGACCATTCCACCTTTGAGCTTGAGTTGTTGGAATTACAGAATATGCTTCAAAGGATTTTGTTAAGAGAAAAAGAAATCCCCTAAAATCCTCAGCTTCCTGAATAGCTGGGGTTACAGGTATGTTTGAAAGTCCTGGCAGTTTTTTTCTTGTGTCCCACTTCCTTTCCTTCTCCTTGCTTTATTCCCATCCTGGTCTCAATATCCTTTTACCTTTTATTCTTTCATTTATCTGTCCATTTATCTTATCTTTCAGCACCCACTTGAGAATTGGTACCTGTACCCCAGAACTTGAAATGTCATATCTTGTTTAGGAGTATGGAAAAAAACTGCCTACTAAATAATTATTTTCCCTTTCATCAAATAACAGACTTTTATCTAGGTATATTGACACCTAGAATAAAGATTACATTT